TATATATATGGGGTGAAATCATTGGCCATATCGTATAGGTCTCTGTGGTGTACCGGTATGACACGGCCTTTTACCAGAGGCAGTTGTTTTTTCAATACAGATGAAAAAGAAAAAGAGCTCTTATGTTTGAGCACTAGTGCAGTGAGTGAGCATATTTCCGTCCGTCCGTTGGCTTTGTGGCTAATATGGGATAACAACTCCCCGGATACGAATATGGGATATTATGGCACAATGGGTGTAACGCTTAACATAGAGGATACAATTACAGCGGTGGATTCGAATGTGAAAGCAATGGTTGATTAAATAAAAGGTAAAGTAAGGCTTATGCTATTATAATATTTCAACCAGAGAACAGTGAAATTACAACTGTTCTCTAGTTTTAACAACGTCATTGTTGATGTGAACTCATGAGTCTCTTAGTGAGTAAATGGAGATACGGTGTTCAAACCCAATTGAGCCTACTAATCACAACACAGACCCTCGTCGAGGTTCAAGCCTAGAGCCTAGAATTCACTAGGGTATATTGGATGTAAACTTCAGTAACATTATAATATAAGCCACGAGTTTATTTCCAATCGGAAGATAGAACACAATTCGGTCATATTGGTTCCACAGAGATATCCTTATTCAGAGATACCCCCTTCCCTATCTATATTATAATTCTGTCTATCTAAGGCATTTGATCATATTATGTGAAGAGAATTGCAAGTACCTGTATATGTATGGATTGACGTTAAATTTATATAGGCCTATTGCAAATTCGATACAAGATAAATATTGACCAAGAGTATAGAGATAACATGTTAGGCGGGCTAAAGCGCAACACACCAAGAGGGCATTTTTAAACCACTAGTCAACAACTTAATATGATAAATAAAATAATGATATTATACATACAAAGATATTAAGAAGATACGAGAAACAGTAAAAGGTAAAATTCAGTTAGATTAAGTATATTAATTAAAATACGTTTGTACTTTGAGGTTTGCATAATATAACGCGCCCTTTCCATTCTTCATGCAAATCACTCATCCATTTAATATTGTACATTTATGTAAAGAAATTTCGTAGGTTTTGGTATTGTGTAAGCGAATAATAGCAGTTGTTTGCTCACTTGAGTAGCAAACAAAATATTCAATATCCGTTCTGTAGGTTTCTGCCTTCGTTTTCTTCTACTATTCAATTTGATTTTTTTTTTATTCGTGGTTTTCAAACGATGGCCACAAGGTGTTAGCCTATTGTGTTTTTAATTACCAACTCATTATAATATTACGACAGATTTATCTATACCAAAAATGATAATAAATTTTGATGAATAATATCGAGACACTTTCAACAAAAAGTAATAATTCATTTCAGAATTATGTACAGTACCGTGGTGTACCACATTGTTACTTAACCAGGAACAAACAATAATGATAACAATAATAATAAATAATAATAACACTATTATTAATAATAATAATAATAATAATAATAATAATAATAATAATAATAATAATAATGATAATGATAATGATAATAATGATAATAATAATAATAATAATAATAATAATAATAATAATAATAATAATAATAATATTAATAATAATAAGCTGATCACAATTATACACCTACGACTAGGCCTATATCAACTACTGAAACAGTAACACACCGGATCCAACTGTCTCGCTTTTTATATATAGGCTTAATATATCATGACGAACTATGTATGTATAATATATATTTTATACAAGGGCAAAAATTACACTAACCGAGATTCGAACACATGCCCTAACCAACTGGACCACTGAGCAGAGGGCGTATCATAATAATTGATCTCGGTTCACGTATGTATTAAATACTAGAGCTGTAACCGCATATACAAAGGAGTGTTAAATCAATGAATACACCGTAATTGATTAAAAAGTATTCCAATATATAAATATCATAACTAACAAACGCAAATTAGAAGCATCGAGAATGATTTTTTTTAAACATTTACCGTAGTTCATGATATTAATTTCCTTCAGATTTTATGATTCTTATGAAATGGGCCGAAAGAGAGATGCCGAAATAAAATACATGTGCTTCATTACAATCTTCTCGCTAATCTGTTTCGTTGTGACAACGTTCATAACATCACAGAAACGGCAGAAATTAAAAGAGGAACAGGTGAAGATATATAGGGTCATTCAAGCACAGACAAGCACACGAAGTCGGAACAACCAAAGGTAAGAATTGCGCGTATACCTGAATAAACATTCTGTAATAGGCAGTTTTCGCCGCACGACGTTAACCTTAACGGTAACGGATGACGTCATAATTTATTCATTTTTCGTTGCGGAGTACGTTAATATCAAGATTTTACGTGCTCGACGTACGTTAATAACGGGTTTGCGCATGCGTATTTCGATTTGTTTACAAAAGGGGCGGAGCTATTGCGCTGTATTTTTGGTACTAACGTTAAGGTTAACGTCGTGCAGCGAAAACATAAAGACTGAGAAAGTGTAGGATTGGGGTCGAAACTGACCAATTCATACTTATCTAATTGTTTTATTGAAATGTTTTCTATTTGATAGAACTTGATCGGTTGATTTCCATTTGCATTGTGATTTGTAATATTTTTTTTTTTTTATGTATTTGTATATATGAAATGTCTATTCCTAAGTGAATGTTTTTGTTATATATTTAATCTCTCCGTTTCGGAGATTTTTGAATAAATTGAAATTGAAATTAATTGACCAATTAGACATGTGACAACGATGAATATTCGAACAATAGAATCCAAAACAAAACCGTGTGGGTGACGAAGAACAAGATAAAGTGTGTGTATGGGGGGGGGGGTAATTGTAACACCATATACCATCTTAAACGGTGAAGTGATGTTAGAGCACAATTACAGTATGTGGCAGAGGGGCAAATGAGTACTATTACGGTACATTTGTGCATTTTTTTTTTTGCAAAGGAACACCTCTATAAAAGCAACACGTGTGGAAGACAAACACCGCCAATGGTTTAGTCAAAGTTTATCTGTGCAAATTGACACAATTAAAGCAATGGATATAAAGTACGTATAAGCTTATGTGAGCTATATTAATTTTCATAACAAAATTTAGTAGTATTTAAATAATGGACCATATTTTAACAAGAATTCTGATAGTCAGCAAAACATATTAATGGAATTAAAAAATAACAAGAAAGTAAAAAGTTATTAAACTTAATTTTTTTAATCTGTTTTTCTTGGGAAGTTGGTAAATTATTTTATCAATATTAAATAAGCAAGTCAATGGTTTAATTGAATTTTGAGGGATTTCAGATTTTAGTACACAAAGTACATATTTAATCACATCGTGAACACAATTTAAGAGAAAAAATATCCACTGATGAAATCTAATTACTTGGAGGCGATCTTTAGATTGGACCACGCTAGCCACAAATTATTAAGTCTCTAATTTCAAGTAGTTAACGCACAACAAACATGATGTGTGCGTTGCCTCTCTTGTTTCGTCAAAAATGCCTTTTAAATAAATTAGTCTATCCGACAGTCAGGTAGATGACATTTTGCTATTCGGTACCCAGATTGGAAGGTTTTGAGTTGTAAACTTTCCAATATAACATGTATAGGGGCTTATCATTGATACGGCATGATTTTAATTTTCAGAAAACGAGTAATTTCCAGTGGAATGTCTTGGAAGAAAATGTTGTCGAACTCTGTTGAAATTGTGAAGGAGTTTAATGGGAAATTGTACAGAAAAAATGAATCGCAGAAAAAACTTCGAATGAAGGCCGTGGAAAATTGTGCTATTGTAGGAAACGGAGGTGTGCTACTTGATAGCCGTTGCGGCGACGAGATCAATGCGCACGATTTCGTGTTTCGCATTAATATGGCTCCGATAGACGGCTTTAGGACTGATGTAGGAAGCAGGGTTGACTTTATGGCTTTGAATAGCCAAGGAACGAGGCAGCTTTTGGGTTGCATGAAGCGATCTACACAAGGTTGTACACAGACTCTGAGAACACTTAGCATGTTGGAAAAAGGCTACCTGTGGTTCTCTAAATATACAACAGTTAATTTGAAATTATCGTCGGCAATCTATGAATATGTCAATACAACAATTATACA